ACAACCATCGTGGTGGGATAGAATGGAATGGAGTAAATATAAGAGTACAATAGTTTTTCTTAAAAGTTGGGATGAAGGAATTGGAATTCCTTGCTAGAACCCAAGGAATTTACATTCCACCATATGTGGAATTCAAATTCCTTACCATAACTCAAAGAATGAACCAATCACATGAATGGAATTTGGTCAATAGAATTGGCCATTCCATTCCTTAAAATTCCATCGGGTTCCAACAAACCAAACGCCACTATGATCAATAAGGGAAAAAGAAGAAGCAGAAATGCAAAAAGAACCCGTTTAACCAATAGAAAAACCAATACCTCTTCTTCCCTTCTTTCAGCAGTCTCTTTTGATATTCCAAGCAATTGTTTCACATTGTGCACTTGCTTAAGATATAAAAGCTTTCCTACTGGCCATGGGAGGTCAGAATAATAGATCTTGTGCGCAGAACTTCCATCTGAACCTACCCATAGTTCATATAAGATTGCATCTGATAGCCATGAGTTAATCATTGCCATCGTCGATACCCATTCCGGAAGATTCTGGACTCCCGCATCCAGATTAACAATATTATCTTCTTTTAAACTTTCAATTACACCACCCTTCTCATTGTTGTAAGCAACATATGTATCAGTGTCGACGTAAGGAATTTGATCTGGATGAAACAAAGCCAAAACGCATCTCGATCATGTTATGAGATTGATAGCAATTAAGATTTTAATTGGTTAAATAGTATCACAAATTGCATGATATGCATCTCAATCAAGATGTTGTTTTTGGTCATTTTACATCTTTCATCTAGCTTAACAGCTAGTTTTTGCCAAATGGGATTTGTTCATCAGCTAGCCTGTCAGCCAGTTTGCCAAACATAGCCTAATTATTAGTGTAGGGGCTGGTTCAAGTAGCTAAATATCATGAGAAGGTAAGAAGAGAAGATTCATATGTGAATCATTTGAAAAAAAAAGAGGAAAAAATCGATTTGGAGATGCATATGTGAACTGACTTTACAAAAAAAGATGATCCTGCTTGATTTTTTATGCAAGTAATTGGGATGAATTTATTATCCTTGTCTAATTCACTCTGAAAATTGATCATCATGGTTTTAGGTCAAACAGTTAACTTTCAGTTTTTCAGGTAATGTTACACTATTATTGAAATGCCTGAAATCTCATTCAACGATAACAAATTACGGAAATTCCATCGATCAAAACCAATGTCAAGATTTTAGGCAAATAAGTAGCTTAAAAACCTGCCAAAGAACACAAATGCTGCAAATCCAATGAGACATCACAAAAATTCACACTGGTAGAAAGGAGTAACAGCTTTTCCTTGTCTTTAGTACTCTCTATACTCAAGAAATGATCTACAAATTGACATTTGACATCAACCCCTTGTACTTTTTTCAAATACGAAATCAATAAAAAATTTGGTTACAAAATGGACATCAACTAGCTTCATTCAATATGCAGTAGCGATTGCATTTTCCACTCAAGAAAATTTGAAATCCATATATCAATTTAGAAGTGAAACGCATCTAAAAACCAAAAGAAACCTGTTTAACCTAAAATCACAATGATCGATTTTCCAAGTGAATTCGATCAGGGACAACAAACTCATCCCAATTACCAGCATAATAGCAAAGCATGATCATCAATTTGAGAGAGTAGAGTTGAAAATTACGTACCGGAATCAGGGAAAGTGAGATTATAACTCAAATCGAAAGGAACATTTGCGAATTTGAGATAAATGTAAACAGGCAAACATGAAGGACAAGCGGTTGGTAGACCAAAACACGCTTTTCTAATCACTAGAGTCAGATGTTGCTGCTGCTCGCTTTGAATCGCTTCATCCATTAGTAAAACCAGAGTCTACGAAGAAGAAGAAGTAGTAGTTTAAAACCCTAATCAGGTGTCTGGTAGAATCCAGATTTGGATAATATCATATATAGACCCCTCAAGAATACTATTATGGCAAAATAGGTCCCTCTTCTCAATTGAATGTCCTTTGACGTTATATTTTATGCATTTAATCGAACCGAAAATCATTAACTTTTTTAGTAAAAAAGTGAAATAAACAAAATACCCTTCAACTTAATGGACGGAAATAACGTTCGTTAAAAACATAAATGAATGGTGAAAGCAGATCGAAACGACGGATGATCTGATATAATTTTCAGAAACTGCAGTGTCAATTAATATGATTGGGACAATAGTAATATCCACTCTTTTTTAAATTCAACCTGAGGTGACGGAGGGATCATACCATTCGAGCCTTTTATTTTCAACTTGAAAACAAATTGAAGACTGTGTTTTTTAAAGAATCAAATACAATCGGTTTTCGATCTCATCCGGTTCTTCAATTTTTTTGGTCGGGATGGATATTCTCCTAGCCATAATGGTTTGACGTAGTTTTATAGTATTGTATGTGTGCATCTAGTCTCAATCAGAGTCGACGTTTGGTTTAAATGTTAGATGTGGGGTTGTTTTTAGTGGTTTAGTTTGATAATTGGTACAATTATTAGATAAGATATTTTGTTTTTTGCATATACCTTTGTAAGGTTTGATTATATTTAAGAAAAAGAAACCAAATTTGTTGTTTTCTAAAGAGCAAACCGTATGAAAAGGTGACGTACTTTAACTTTATTCCTATTTCGGATAACGCACTTTCAAAACTTTCATTTTAGTACATAAGATGTAAAGTTTTAAACATTTAAGTACCCGAGTAACCTGTTGAAACATTAACCGGTTATCATGTTGATGTAGCGAGTGATGTGGTATCCAACTCAATATTATTTACTGATGTGGTTGATGACATTATTTTTTTATATAAAATTTGTCTTCAACCGGTTACTCGGGTACTTAAATGTTCTTTACTTCTTAGGTACCAAAACGAATGTTTTGAAAGTACGTTACCCAAAATAGGAATCAAGTTAAAATACGTTACTTTCTCATGTAATTTGCCATTTTCTTAGATCTTGGTTGTGTAAATTTAAATCAGATAAGTTTTGTACCATAGGAGTGTTTTTCATAGTTATTTTATTCCAAGTTAGGTTCCATTGAAAATAAGAGTTATTGATGAGACGGTGAAAACAGAACAATTATATTTCATCTATATTCAATTACATTTATTTATTTTATCATTATGACCAAAACTTTAACAAATTTATGCATCTGAAAGTAATTAAATATATGTAAAAATGACTTAAAAGTAAAGATAATTTTTTTTAAAAAAAATGTAGCCGAATGTAGTTAAAGGTAGATAAAATATACTGAAAAAAAGTAGTTAAAAAAATTAAGTTAAATTAAACATAACATATTTAAATGATTCTTTACCTGATAAAAGGTTATTAACCCCGTCACATCACTTGTTCATAATATTTTTTCCACATGATAGAAATTTACAGTATAACTTGACAACTTCACATCCACATTAATAACAGTAGCTACAAAATTTACTGGTTATAATTTTTAGAGTATTTCCAACAGCTATACCATAATCTTTTAAAATAAAGTATCTAAAATCAAGATCTATAAAAAAGAAAACAAAAACGTCCAACTTCAAAATCCAAGTCCACCTAAATTTCAAACATAAGAAATAGAGTAAATTACAATTTCCATCCCTATGGTTTGTCAAAAAATATAAATTTTGTCCCTGTGATTTTGAAATTACGGTTTTAGTCTCTATGGTTTGCAATTCATTGCGATTTTTATCCCTGAAGTTAACTCCTACCTTTAGTTAGGAGGGACAAAAACAGAAAAGAAGTATAAACCATAGGAACGAAAATAGGAAAAAAGTTGTGAACAACGAAAACAACAATAAATTATAAATCATAGAGGATAAAAACCGTAATTTCTAAAACATAAGGACAAAAATAGTAATTGTTAACAAATCACAGGGACTACAAATATAATCTACTCTAAGAAATATAAAATCTCATTGAACAACAAATGAACCTGAAGCTTCAGCGAGTACCAAACTGCATCATATGTTGAAGTTAACATCATAAGTTAAGCTTATACATACATGGTGAGTTCGGTATGCTGGATAGGACGAGACAATATGCATGACATTAGACTGGGACAAGACCTTTCTAAAACAAAAATGTATTTTTGTCCCACCAAAATAGGTGGAACAAAAATAACAAAGATGAGACAAGAATGATAAATTACTGAACTATCCATGTCAAATTATAACCCTTAAACCTTTTACAATTCTTCACCCGTCTTCTTCACTCTCGCCCATCCTGTCCAGTCTAGTCCCGTTATCAAACGCACCTTAACATTTGGACGCAAAACAATTCCAACGCATGTACCAAATGCAAAACATTTGGATGGGGCAATACAAGCGGCATTAGACTGAGACAAGACCCGCCTAAAACAAAATTGCATTTTTCTAAAGAAAACGGGAGAAGATCCGTAAATTACTACCCATGTCAAAATTATAATATATAAACCTTTTACCATTCTTCACCCATCCGGTACAAGGCTATCATAAGGGAAGGTTACGTTTGGTTGGTTTTCCATCAAGTCCTATACGGATAAAGCTGACTGTGTAGATTAACATGTCTATTATATGGATTATGAGGATTTTTGTTTAGATGAAAGGACCGTGCTTTTTCACAGGTTTGGAAAAATTTGGCTTTCTGCATAAAACTCCTCTCTAGAAGCTTACCAAATAACCACTTTCTATATCATTAAGCCAGTAGCCCACTACCAAACAGTCGTCTAAAGCTGACAGAAAAAGATGCAAGTCCCATTAAGCTCATTGAACTGTTAACAAATAGGCCCTAATATTTGGATGCAGAACAGTTACAAAACATGTACTATTTACACAACGAACATAGTATCCGCATACATTATAACCATCGTTAAATATTTGCAGAGAACCACGTCTGCTTCCTAAGTTATTCGCTAACACTTTCTAATATTACTACCGAGTCTTGACCTAAATATTCGCTAAAAGAAACATACGAAACAAAAAGGGGCCATGGAGATTTCGACTTAGATACAGATTGAACCATCAAATCAAGTTTTCGACCCGTTAGGAAGACTAGGATTAGTTTTGTTTATTCATTATACTTTTAACTGTATCTAGGATACGAAAATAATCGTAAAACAGAGAAGAATGGTCACCTTGGAGTCCGTCTCTGCTTACCCGGTTACTGCCCGTGAGATTATTGCATGGACTGCCGCCAACCACAAGATCAAAACCACCGAAAGAAGAGATAAATTGCTCAAGCTGATCACCGTTCAATTGTTGAACATCTGGCAAATGGACAAGATTGCCCTTTTGGTTTGTCTGTTCCCACCAGCTCCTAACTATGTCTCGGTTAGCTTCGGAGATTTCGACCGACACAATGTTGTTTAGAAGAATCCCGAGCCGGTGGAGAGCAACTTCAGCACCACCGATACCAGAGAAAAGAGAGAGCATGTTTATACCTTTTGGAAATATGTCCTTCAATACGGAGAGATGGTAAGCTACTGTGTCGACCTGCCGAAGACGATGTTAAATGAACATTAGTATGATGTTAGTAAACCAAACAAAGCAATATATCACGCTAGGAGTTAGGGTCGGGACAAAGGCGGATCCAGAAAATTTTCCAAACAGGTTTGAAACATAATATAAAATAAAACAAAACTTAACCGGTGTTTTCAATGATAAACTTCATTGCATTTTAATTCATTTTTCCCCATAAGAAATTATACCTACCAAAGGGTTATTTGCTGAGCGGTAACCCAGGCTATGAGTAGACCAACGGTAACCTGGGTTACTAGTAGAGTCCAACCTTTTAGGTAGGGATGGCATAAAAACCCGTAGCCAATCCCCGAACCCGATTTGACAGGGATTCCCCTAGTTCAATGGGGATCCGGATCCCCTAAACCCCGACCCCGAGTATTTAATAGTAAGTTTTTATATATATAGTGTGTATATATATATGTATATATTTACATACTATAGTACAGATGACAAACCCAAGGAGTATCTATAACATATAAATATAATCAATCTTCAATAGTTGAAAATTTACTTGTATGCACATTCGCATACCATACAGATGAATGGTAACAAAGGTGTTCCTCGGGTTTTCAGTTTTTTGCGGTTTTCCCCTGAATCTGACCCTAAAAATATTATATACTTCCAAAAAAGAGAAAATGTTACCTGAAATGAGTTACCAAGGGATTTGTATCTATCCGTCCTGCTTATACCACCTCCTCTTGTATGGTTTCTGGGGAACCCCAATAACATTTCCACTTCATCTGGTTCCAAAGGTGCAACCTTGTTTTTTCCTACCCAAACTAGGTTCCACTTTCGGCAATCCTCGATAACCTTCTTCTGCACATCGAGCGGTACATAATCACTGTATTTTTCTAGATCCTTCCGGATCCTTTCCGTCAACTTTGCACTTGCAATAACCGTTTGTAAGCAGTTCAGCTTCGTACGCTTATCCCATTCAGGCCACCATCTCTTTGTTAACGGCAATGCATCACTTATCGTGCGGGGAGGAAGAGGAAGAATACAGAATCTGTTATTTATTGGGAGATTGTGAACATATCCTCGTTTTCTTGCAGCCGCGCAAAAATACTTGGAATCAACGAATTCGGGCTCCACGTCATAAAGGAAGCGAGAAATGGTATCCCAAGATCCTTTTGGAGCTAGAGCAACATTCTCGTAGTAAAAGAACGGAGGTCCAATGGCATCATCGGGGAGTGTTCTATGAGTCACCATACTCGAAGGTTCTGATGGAACTCCAAAGCCAGTCATTGGGTTCGGAAGACGGATGACTTCATCTTGTTCAGTCAGCGGACCCTTCTGCTTATTTCGTTTCCAGGCCTCGAGCTCATACAATTTCCTCTTCTTAAGTTTCCCATTCTCCCCTAAGTTTTTGCGTTTCTGGTTTTATGTCAAATGGAAATGAATGTAAGGGGAAAAAATCTAAGTATGCAATAATAGAGGGAGTTTCAAATACAAACCATTGAATCCTTACAAACAATACAAACCAATCTTAACTGTCCATCTAGCCTGATGAATATCTGGTTCCATAAATATTTCGATTGTTTCCTAATCTAAAGCAATGATCATACTGAATGAACTGTATCATCTTCCATAATTATCTCAATTGTTTCCTAATATACGTGTTGATCATGGTTTGTAAGAATTCCATGGTTTGTATTTTAAACCTCCTCCGTAGTAACATGCCAAACATATATGAGATAATAGTTGTGTACCTGTGTGATGCAACGAGATGCATGATTTTATTAGAAACCAAGAATGAAAAATGACAATTTTCCTTATAAAAGAAAATCTGAAATTTATGTTTGAATAAATATAAATTACAAGTGATGGTTGAACATGTCTTACTAATTTGAAACATTGTTGGATTAAAGATTATAAAATTCTCTTTTTTGGTATTATTTGACGGTTCAAAATTTAAATAGTTTATATTTGAAAATATATATGTAATTTATTTTAGTTTTAGGATAAAGTATTTCTTTTTAATAATGTAGTATTAGTAGGACTCGATGATTATCCTGTTTTCGAACGTGTTTATCTGTTAGTTTTATGGAGTTCAAAGAATTTTAAAAAAATTCTAAATATGTTATAATTATTTGTAAACTTGAAAATTTAAGGGATTATGCATTACTAAGCAATACCTAGTGCTTGATAACTTATTTTTTTGAGACTTGAAACCTAAAATGTTTATAGTGGGAGGTTCATTTAGGAACCTTAAATATTTTGAGAACACAAGAACCACCTATTTTATGTAGTATTCATGATGAATAACCGTGAATAATAATGGATATTATTCATCATGAATTAACCGTCAATACATTCATCATGAATATTTATCACGTTATACATCAGGAATACTACACAAAATATAGGAGTTCTTTGAGTTCTCAAAACATTCATCATGAATATTTAAATAATCCATCATGAAGATAAATACCTCATCCTCAAAAAATACGGGTTCCGTCTTTGCATTTTGAGCAGCACCAATAAAATCCGTTAGGACTGCAATCGAGGCACCAGGACCTGCAAAAATGATCAAGTAGCAAGGCTCACAAGTAAAATTTGAAGAACTAAAATGTCAACAGCATAGAAATAAGCCCATCAACTGTTGATAATGTTCTTCTACGTGTTCTTAGAGTTTTTTTTATGAAATTCACCTGTAAAATGACCAAATTACCCCTCACGTGAGGGGTACATGACTGCATTCAGAGAAAAAGATTGATGGAGTCGGTGGGAGGGACCAAAACCAAACCCGCCCTGGACTACAAAGACCAGTCCTATAATTATCGATGGTTAAATGTGTTGTCGGCCATGATTGGAGATAAATAATCCCGCAAATTATCAAAGGAAACATAATGTACATTCTTTTAACTTCAACCTATTTAACCTTGTGGGGCTAGCTCAACTGGCAATAAGGTTTGGGTCTTTAGGGTTTCTCCTCAGAGGTCACCGGTTCGAGTCCCGCAAGGCCACAGGAGATTTCGCTGTTCTCCAGGGCCCATGGGATTAGTCGAGATGTACGCAAGCTCGCCTGGACACCCATGCTTAACAATCAAAACAATTTCAAGCTATTTGACTCTTCCGCTGTAACAGAAAATTGCAACTTCTTTTTGAAAATGTAAAATGATCTCTGTTTGAAATCAGTAGTGTAAATGACCCATCACCACATAAAACGAAAAATGGCAATGGCACACATGACGAGCTCAATATAACATACGTACATCTTTCCATCGCTATTGAAGCCTCTTCTTCTGTATACCCCATAGCCACCAAGTATTTTAATGTTTTCTCATGTTCAGGTAAAGAATCGAAATCCTCCTGTACAAAATGATGTTGAATTTTAAAATTGTTTTACAATTATAAAAAGCATTACAAGCAATAATTTACAAAAACATAATTAAGTATTCATCAGACGCGGACAGATGTTGCTAGCAACAAAGAAGGTATTCCATATTCGAAAAGGAAATACTTGCACATATTGTAATGCAGATCTCACCGCCTTCCCATGCCCCTAACCCCATCAAAAGCATCAAACCAGACTAAGAAAATAGTACAGGTAATATAAACAACACATACAATCTCTTCATCCTTGTGAGATACCAATCTCAGAGAATTATATATATATATATATATATATATATATACATAGGGTTAGGTTCAAGTGAAAACCGCAAAAAAATGAAAAACTGAGGAACACCCTGATAACCGTCCATCCGGACGGTATGCACATGTGCATAGAAGTAATTTCTAAGCGACTTGTCCAGCATGCACACGTGCATAAAAACATATATATATATATATATGTATATATATATCCTTTCTAACTATTTCTTGTACATATATGCCTACCACATCTTTTATTTCCCTACCAACACTGCTAAAGTGGCACTTCAGTTACTTTTGCTTTGTTATGGTTTGAACTAAAACCTTTACATTGGCTCCTAATCCCCATTATGTATGGAAATGGAGTTTAAATACTCCCTCCGTCCCAAAAATCAAAATAAGCGTCCACATTTCTATCTTAGTTTGTCCCAAAATAAATGTAAATTTGTCTTTTAGTGAATTAAAAGTGTAATAATAACACATTTCAAGAACTGTGCGCCTTTTTCAATGTGGACATTTATTTTGGGAAGGGGAATATATTAGAAGAGGTGATGGGAAAGGTTATTTTGATGGATATATCAAAAAATCTAAAACTTAACTCACAGTTTCACTGCCGAGCCAGCTGTCAGACTCGGAGAAATCATCAAGAAGACTCTCATCGTAGTCAGAAGACAAGTCATCATCATTTACACATTGTTGTTGCTGAGGAGAGTTGAGGTGATTCGGGTGACATGAGTTATGTCCCTGTTGAGGGTCTTCAAGAGCCTGCAAGACACTGATACGCATTAAAAGTCCAAAGATCTGAACGCCCTTCAAGAAAAATAAACCAATATACATGTCATGCATCATTAAACAGGCCGCGGCCCAATATTATATTCTAAAATAAATTGATGGTACTAATAGGGGAGTGGGAGGACAGGAGAGGTGTGCAGAAATTAGTGGGTTCTTTTGGGAGAGACTAGCACTCTCGAATTGCTAGAGTTCCGTCTTTTGGTTTTCATTCATTTACAGTGATTGAATACAATTTGGCCAAGCATTTCCCTTCTGTTATTGTGTTGGTTTCACCCTCTTAAGTTTGTTCATAACAAATTGTATTCAATCACTTGGGATTGACAACAATTTGTTATGAACGAGCTTGAAAGCAAGATCATGATTCATTCATTATGATCGAGATATTTATGGAAGATGATAAGGTTCATTCATTATGATCATGGCTTTAGATTAGGAGATAGTCGAGATATGTATGGAACCATATATTTATTAAAAACTAGATTAACGTTTAAGATTGGTTTGTATGGTTCCTAAGAATTAGAATGTTTGCATTTGAAATCTTTATATATATATATATAAAACTAAATTATATTCATTGCAAAGTTCGCGGAAGGAAATGCAGGGCCATGAAAGAAATTAAAGACTAAACAAATTTGGGCCTTATTTAAAATAAATACAGATTTGCAAGTGTGGGTGGGCCAGTGAGGCCTCGGGCCAAAGCTGGCTCCGCCCCTGCAAACGCAAGCAGGTGCAGGAAAAAAATATATGATACAAAGTTATTATTTTTTTTCTTATTAACCTGGATATCCAACCCGCTATGCGAGCCGACTAATCCCGGGGCGACCACCCGCTTCGCGGGTAGCTCATAGTCACCGCATTTGAACCTCTGAGGACAAGAGAATTTTTATTCTTCCTTGGATTCGAACCTGGGACCTCCAGACACTTTTGACCTTTGGAGCCCAAGCTCAAACCAATTGGGCACCACCCTTGTGGTTTATGATACAAAGTTATTGTATCTTTCTTGGGAGGTTTCGGTTCAGAAATCAGCAATTGGATAAACAGATGCAATCGTTTAGGGAAGTTAAAAGTCCGGTTACCTGGTATGCAAATAGAGTATCCAGTATGGACTCGTGGTCACCTTCCCCTATACATATGGAAGAACAAAGTCGTAAATCACGTTCTCCCAGTTGAACCTAATATTGAACGAAATAATCCCATCATGTACCATTTTTTTCAATTGCTTTTGTAACCCATTGCTCACGGAATCCCATCCCTAAGAAATGCTCAACCAACTTGGTGTTTGAAGGACCTGCTGATGAGCTCGCCTTCAAAAGAAAAAAAGAAAGCAAATAAGTTAATAGTTTTTATGTATGCACGACAACTAATTTACCGTATAGCAACCAACAACATGTAGAAACGAAAAGAATTAATTCATCTGCTTTATGCTACCGTCTAAGACCATGTAAATGTATGATATACCACATTGCAAGAAAATGAATTTGTTTAGTAAGAACAAGGTTCTAAATGGCGTAGAGCGTTGCGTGGCAGCGAGGTCAAGCCTCGAGCCTTAAAGCCATGGCAAGGCGATGACATTTTTCAAAACGTGAATCTGTATATCATATAGAGGGAGGTTAAGGGGAAAACCCCTAAAAAATGAAAAACTGAGAAACATCCTGGTAACCATTCATTTGTATGATATGCACATGTGCATACAAGTAACTGAAGTTGTTTTTTGGTGTCTATGCATGTGTGCATAACGAACAAATTGCTTAAAAATTGCTTGTACGCACATGTGCATACTGTCCGGATGAATGGTTATCAAGGTGTTCCTCAGTTTTTCATTTTTTTTTTGTGGTTTCCCCTAAACCTGACCCATATACACACACACACACGTGTTTTCTAATATTACTCCATGTATTGAGCCACAACAAGCCACAGAGGCAGCCGTGGCAAGCCTTTAGAACTCTAAGTAACAGCCTTTTCTGGCAATTAGTTACCAAGTCAAATCAACAGCCAAAAAAATTTCCTCTGCTCCTTACCACTCTCCAGTAAAAAGCATGTGAGTTGAGGACAAGATAGAAAGTTTTTAATGATAATATTGGAAACCAGTTTAAGAGTCAACAGCATAGAATTATTTTTACCAATTTAGATGTTCATGGGCATTTTTGTAATTTTTGAAGCTTATAGGCCCAACTCATTTCTTGCAAGAGTTCATAGACCCAAGTGGTTCTATACCCATCATCTTAAGAACAAGAAAGTTTTAAGAAAAATATTTAATTTGCACGGAAAATTTACCTTTCCATTGCTAATAACAGCTTCAGTATCCCTAGTTATTAATTGTGCACAAGATGATGGGGCTATGTTCTGGATTTCGAGTTCATCTTCGGTATCCCAATCAATATTCTCACTATCGTCACCAGGAGCATGATCACCCTATACAAGTGAAATCCCAATACGAGAATCCAAGTGATAGCAATTCAAAGTTAAAAAATCACTATGAATATAGTGAAAAAAACATGGCAAGCAAAGCACCCAATGAGCATATTGTAAAACAAAACATTTCACATGGTCGAGCAATTAACGGGCAGTCAGAATATATGCAGTGGCCGTCCACCATTGATTGTGTCATATATATATATATATATATATATCTTTATATTAGACTAGATGGAGGTCCATTTAGGAACAGGGAACCAACCTTTCTATGAGTATTCATGATGAATAACATTATAAAATATTCATGGTGAATAATAATATTCATCATGAATACTTAAAAAAGAGGCGGTTCCTGGGTTCCTAAAATGTTTAATTATTAGACTATTTATTTAGGAAAAAGAATAAGATTTATTCTACACATCATGAGGAAGCAAATTACGTAAATGGAGTTAAGGAAGAAGTACCATTTCTCTATAACCTTATAACCTTGCAGAAAGAAGCTCTCAATCTGTTCAACATAAAGAAGAAGATTCACTGTCAAATTAGCGCATTCTCTGCTTCAAAAAGCGGCAGTTGTATTAAGAATATCAAAAGGGACTATTAAAATTCAGACAGAAAATAAAATTAAGAACCAACAGTTCAAGATAATTAACCTCGCTCAAAGATTATTATATTTTCCTTAAACTAAAATGCTGAAATTATCATAAGATGAACTCAAAAGACTGGCAGAAAATATAATAATACAAAGAACAGTTATTGATCCTAACAATACAGGGGCTCGATTATCTTGCTCTAACTGCATTTTGGATGTTAGCTTTAAAGCCGCTGTGTTTTTAGACGACTTACATGAATTTTGTCTAAATTAATTTAGTTTTCGATGTAAACTTTTTCTTAAATACATGAGATGAGTGAGGTTAAAAGCTAAAAACTAACAAAATGACATAGCGAAATTCGAACTCGGGTTAGGGTGGAAGAAAAGCATTGCAAACAAACTCTACCAAGGGAAACTTAGTTTAAAATATACATAGCGGCATACAACAAATTGATAAGTTGACATAATTTTTTACACTATGACAGAGGATCGAAGTGCACCACGTGGGTCCATCTCCAAAGGTGCATACAAGTAATGAAGATGGTACATACCGGAAAATTTACCTACAAGTGTTCCTCAGTTTTTCATTTTCTTTTTTTTACTCTTGTTAATTGCACCAATTGAACACTACAACAAAATGATCGGTACATTATCAAACAGTACAAAGAGATGGTGCAATTAACACACGATATAAACAAAATCGTACCATAAACACTAAAATTGGCAACAGAAAAACCCTAACAAACCTCAATCATCCATTATAATTTCAACCAAACCTGAAAAACCATCAAACGCAAGCCATAATCAACTAAACAGCCTAAAAATTCGATCGTTTACATGCTATCTCATATATTTAACAAAAATATACATAAAAACTGAACTAATTTCGACAAAATTCACCTAAAACTCCAGCGATTACAAAGGTAACATCCAAAATGCAGTTAGAACAACATAATCGAACAGTGTAACTACAATTTTGGGGGAATTCCTTCATAAATACAATCGATTGATAATTGAGAAATAAAAAAGCTCATGCAGAGATCGTTACATACCTAATAATTACATCAACAGAAAGAGAAGTGACTGAGCGATGAGTAGATACAACAACTATATATATACATATATACAAGAGAGAGAGGAAAATATGTTTTTCACAAGCGAAGCATACAACTATATACGAATGCAGAAGGTGGAAGGCACGCGCCATGGTGGATCGACCCAGCAGTAAGTTTTTGTGTATATTTTTTTTTTCAAAGTGTAACTTACTTTTACTTCTATTTTAGATAACGTATATTTAAAACTTTTATTTTAATATTTAAGATATAAAGTTTTAAACGTTTAGGTATTTAGGTAATCAGTTAAAGCATTAATCGGTTATCATCTTAATGTGGCGAATACTATGGATTCCGGTTAATGCTTCAACAAATAACCCTCATTCGTCGATTTAATCTTATGAAATTTTTACATCAAATTATTTAATCTTATAAAATTGTTTAATCTTATGAAATTGTTTCATATAATACTTTTCTTGATGAAGTTGTTTCATATATGATTATGAAATTGTTTCATATAATACTTAAGAAGTATTAATAAAATTGTTTCATGTATTTTTTAAAAATTAATATAATGAAGTTGATAATATTCATGATTAATACCCTCCATAATAAAAATTATTAATCAACCTTTTATAATTACAAAAAAATGAACAAAACAAAAAAATTATAATTGTTTAAATAAAGTTTATACAATTTATATAATTAACATGGTTTGCAAAGTAAACCTCCAGTGTATATATTATTTCTCACAATTGTTGAAGATAATTTCAAAAGATGCAATTTATGTACCATTCCATTCATATACTTTTTACCAAAAATAAATTACTATAAAAAAAAAGGGGATCACCGAAAAGGAAAAAGACTCGCAAAAAGGTACCATTTACAAGAAGTTGGATTTTTGCGGAAATTATTTGAAAAATATGACTATTTTATACTAATTTGGAAAATGGATTGTTTCGATTTTGTTGTGATTATCTCTTTAAATAAATTTTGAATTTATTAAAAAATTAAAATAAAATCACAACCGATCACAAGCTCGAATTCTTTCAACTCGGCTTCAGACCTAATCGGACTTTAGCTTGAGGCCAATCCATCTTATCAAGTTCGGCTTTTGTATAGCTACTCTCAAGTCGGACCCGAGACTGGCTGCAATTACAAAATTGATTGGTTTTCAATTAAGCCCTGGGTCGATAAAGCTGTATGTACGAATTAATTTGTTTGTATGGATTAGGAAGCTTTTTGCATGGAAACGTTTTTCATAGATGGAATGATCATGTTCTTTAATTGGGAGAGACAAGTTTGGATAACACTTAGCTTTACCAAGCAATCGTGTACAACTTACCGGACATTAATATACTTGTTAACAGATCCTAAGAGGTGGTTTACTTCTTTTTTTGCATTAAGTCATGTATGGGTTAATTTGTCTATCTGAATAGAAATGCATTGTTGATTGAAGGAGGCAAATAAAAAGGCTTGGATTACTTCTAGTGCGTTTAGGCATTAGTTTGTTTGATATGACTTAATGGAAGGTGTCCTAACTTATTCCATGTAGATATTTTGGCTTAATAGCTTAACAATTAAGCCATAAAGAAACACTCATGCATGGTCAAGCGAAAATGCCCATATCACTAAGCTCATCAAGCCATAAGTAAACAACACTTAAGTTTTAAGACAATCTTTTTACTAGCTATCATCTACCTCTTACCGGATAAGAGGTGCTTACTCACTAAAAAAGATGTTTACCAACAAATGTTGGCCCACAAATATACTAACCTAGATTATGACAACACTTACCCAGACATTTCGTAAACAACCATTTTCCATCCAACCCCCATCCAATGAAAAGCAACATTGATTCAGACCCATCAAACCAATCGAATTCGAGATTAGGGCTAGAAACATGAATATAATATATGAAGCTATGTGAATCCACAATGTTTGCATTAACTCCTGTATGTATAAAGCCGTCTATATGGATTAATCTCTTTGTATAGGTTGGAAAAGTTTTTTGTTTTGGAGAGCTTTTTCATAGATGGAAGAAACGAGCTTTTTAATTGACAGGGACAAGTTTGGAAAAAAATTAGTTTTTTTTTTGCATAAAACTCCCCCTAAAAACTTACCGATTAAACCACTTGCAATTTTAGTAAGCCACTACCAAAACAAACACTTATAGCTGACTGAATAAGCTGTGAATCCCATTAAACTCGTTAAACTGCTACCAAACAGTCAGAATGTTTGCATAATAATATTAGACAACAACAATACCTTACAAACATACATCACTTTTGGACCATGAAAACAAACAACGGAAGGAAAGGAAAAGGCAGTTGCCAAAATCCAAGTTAAGTGGAATAATAAGAGATATAATAAACAAACATATGTCATACCATCAATTAGTGCATTGATACCGATCGTTACCGTTATCGTTAAGTTTTTTTTAACTTCCGAGCACGGGACATTGTTTCCGAGCATGTTCCGGTATGAGTTTAGCCACAAGTTCAAACGATGCACCTTTTAGCTCTATCAATAAAACAACGTATGTATGTATGTAATCTCAGCATTGGAAGCATGGAAATCACGAAGAAAAGGAGATGGAACTAAAAATACTAACCTTGCGGCTTGAAATTGAAGAGAGGTGGCAACGGACGGCCGTTAGGAAGACGGGTGTTTGGATCACGAAGTTCGTTGAAGAATGGATGGATACACGCCTCCAACTGTTGAAATAAATAAAAATGCTTAAAAACTAAACCAAACCCAATATGTCCAACTCGGAGGTGGTGTAGCATCCCTGGCTAACCGTATCGGATACTATCCGCTTTGTCCACACCTAGACTCACAGTTTCTAAAACATGTCGAAGGTGGTGTAACATCCCTGGCTAACCTGCGTCAGATACTGTCCGTTTTGTCCACACCTAGACTCATAGTTTTTAAAACACGTCTGATAGAGGAGGTATCCAGTCCCTTGTACGGCAACCTTCATTCCCCTTCCCAACCGATGTGGAATACAGATGAGGTCTAAAGGGTGGGATGTACATAGACTTGGTCTCTACCCAAAAGAGCAGTGACTGTTTCAATGAAGACCACCCGACTTGTGCAAAGTGTGCAAAGAGAGTATAAAACTTGGTCGAAAATTTTGAGAAGAAAGAACATAATAGCTTGAAAATAAGAAACGGTGGTGCTAAAAATTGAAAACAGGTTAGAAGTAAGCAACAAAGCAAAGGGTCGTTGGCCTAGAGGTTTCGGACCTTTGGCCATCAAACCTCACCAAAGGTGAAGAGGGTGTGTGATTTCCTCCATTTGTAACATCCCAGGTCAACCGTACCAGATACTGTCCGCTTTGTCCACATCTGGACTCACGGTTTTAACGTGTTCGATAGAAGAGGTATCCAGTCTCTTACAAAGCAACCTCGGTTCCCCACCCCAACCCTTGTGGGATCTCACAATAAACAAAATTTCCCGTATATAATTATTATATACTTAAAAAACATTCAAAACAAACAAGCAAACAAAACATACAAACAGAAGCGAATACAAAAGAACTAGATGCTATCAAATACAAACTCCTTGGAAGTTATATATGAGTGATGATGGCATGTACTTACCGCAGTACACCTCAAGTTTGGAGAATATTGGAGGAGTCTTGAAACAAGATCTACGGCTTCCGGGGGCATCCGCTTGTGAAAAATCTATTTCAACATCATACCAATATTAGGCAAACAATGATATAAAAATAATGGCCTTACCATCACCAAGGCCATGTTTGGCAACCATAAGCTACCTTACTTTTTGAGTTTATTGAAAATGTCCCGTTTGGTAAGCCATAATATAAAAACCTTATTGGGTTTTTTCACTTTCCAATTATACCCCTATATTTTTTTCGTTTAGGCATTTTACGTTGTAATCTAGCTTTTAAGCTAGTTTTGACCAAACGTGACTAATTTATCAGCCAACAACTTATCAGCTATTTCATCAACTATTATTAGCTTATCAGCCAACAACTAGACTATCAGCTAGTTCACCAAATATTGACTAGTTTATCAGCCAACAACTAGATTATCAGCTAGTTCATCAAATATCGACTAGTTTATCAGCTAGTTTGCCAAACATAGCTAAAATAACGGTGGAAATGAAAAGCAGTGTCCTCACTTTGTGCCAAGGGTGAGCCTTGATTTGTGGGAACTTAAACTCCGTGTAGTTCGGATTCATGCATTTGATTTCTTCACGAGTTGGTGTACCAAGGACCTAATAAGATGAACAAATAAACAATACGATTATTATGGCAAAAAGATAATACGAAATCGGATTATGAACATGTCTTCGGTATCACAAAGTGCCCACCAACTTACTTTGATAATTTCTACAAGCTGGTCGACTCCACTCTCACCTGGGAAAAGAGGCTGGCCGCAGAATAATACAAAAGATATGAATAAAATATGAAGTTCAAAAACATTACTTCTTCCGTCCCAAAAATGTGTCCAAAATTCTATTTTAGTTTGTTCGAAAATAAGTGTCTACTTGTGAGACGGTGAAATTCATTACCCCCTCTATTCTTAAGGGTAAATTTGTCATTTTGTTAATTAGAAAGTGTAATAATTACACATTTCTAACACTGTGCCTTTTTCATTGTGCACATTTTTATTTCGGGACGGAAGGAGGATATATATATCTGATAGCTAAGATTCCCTTGTGAAAAAAAAAAACCTGTCCAAGAAGCAGTTCAGCAAGAACACAGCCCACTGACCAGATATCGATTGCAGTTGTGTATTCGGTTGCCCCAAATATGAGTTCAGGTGCACGGTAGTACCGAGAACAGATGTAGGATATATTTGGTTCCCCTTTCACCTATTAAACGTAAGATACCGTAAATTCAATGGACAAATTATGTCAGCTACCTAAATTTTAAATGAGCAAGACGACTTTATTCATGAGTCATCAACTTCAAATCAGCAAAATGGAAAGAATACTTGGGTCTCAGAAAAAAAAATGCGGTAAGCATGATGCATAGTTTTTATAGGGGAAAGTTCATTTAGAAACCGTAAATATCAATATTTATAATGAATGTACATGAATTCATGATGAATATCATAAATATACATGAAAATCATGAAATTCATTGTGAATATTTGGTTCTCACTGTTCTCAAATAAACCTACCCCTAGTTTTATATAATAATAATAAAACCGTGTGAACAAACAAACATATTACCAGAACTTTTGCGCTCCCAAAATCACAGAGTTTGAGCTGATGAGAATGAGGATTCACCTGCATAGCAGAGAGTCTATTGTAACACCAAAGCTTAAAAAACTCGAGAATATGGGTGAGAGATAAGGTTTGGATGCATACCAGAAGATTTTGAGGCTTAATGTCTCTGTGGCAAACACCTATCGCATGGATATATGCCAGTGCTCGAAAAATCTGAAATACAGTCGAGATCATTACTTTAGCAAATATATATATATATATATATATAGAGAGAGAGAGAGAGAGAGAGAGGGAGGCTCACAAAAAACCCCCAAAAATGAAGAAATGAGGAACACCCTGGTAACCATTCATCTGAACGATATACACATGTGAATACATGTAATTGAAGTTGTTTCTTGGTTTTTATGCACATGTGCATACCGGATAAATTACAAATTACTTGTATACACATGTGCATACTGTACAGTTGAATGGTAACCAGAGTATTCCTCAGTTTTTCATTTTTTACAGTACATATATAGGGGGCGGTTTAAATAAAAAAGCTAAATATTCTGTGAAGGTAAGAAGGAAAGGTTCATATGTGAATCATTAAAAAATCCGAAAAAATATATATGAAGATGCATATGTGAACCATCGTTACAGTTTATTCATATGGTTACACAGACGCATCTTCAAATGGAACTTCTCAATGATTCACATATGAACCTTCCCCTCACCTTCTCATGACATTTAGCATTCTTATTTGAACCTCCCACTATGTATATATATTGTGAAGGTAGTGAAGGTTACAATTGTTGAATGCGTATACCTTCACCAGTTTTTGTGAAGGCGCTCCGCTCATCACCACACAATATAAGGGTACCTTCACATATATCATGTGAATGTTCCATTTCTCACGAAAAAGGACATTTCTCACATGAACTCAACTATACACACACACACACACACACACATATATATATATAGAGAGAGAGAGAGAGAGAATCTAAATCATTTGCAAACCCTCTAATTGTTACAAACCAAACATTTGAGATATTTATGGAAAATGAGGGTTCGTTTATTATGATTGGGATATTTATGGAAGATGATCAGAGTTCATTAATTACGATCAACACTTTAAATTAAGATATAATCGAGATATTTATGGAACCATATATTCATTAACCTGGATGGATGGTTGAGATTGGTTTGTATGGTTTCTAACAATTAGAGGGTTCGCAAAAGAGGGGACTCTCTCTCTCTCTTTATATATATATATATATATATATATACACACACACTCTCCAGTTTTCTTCTAGTAGACAAACCTGATACGTGTATAGTTTGACATATATCATAGGCATTCTCTGATTTGCCTTACTGTAGTGTCTTGCTACACGATAAGCCGTCTCTGGCACGTACTCAAGAACCAGATTAAGATACAGCTCATCCTTGTCTGTTGTCGAAAAGAAGCAATGTTTGAGTGAAACAACATTGGGATGATCAAGAAGCCGCATCGTTTGCAATTCACGGTTCTTGTATCGCTTATCTTGCAACACTTTTTTTATCGCAACAGCTTCTCCGCTTTCCAAGCATTTTGCCTGCACAAGTCAAGATCAAGGTTCTCATACATGATATAATATATATATATATATATATGTATGTATGTATGTATGTATGTATGTATGTATGTATGTATGTACGTATATGTATGTATATGTGTGTGTGTGTATAAAGAGAGAGGGAGGTTCTGGCTTCAGGGGTAACTCCCCCCCCCCCCCAAAAAAAAAAATTGAAAAACACCCTAATAGCCGTCCATCTCAAAGGTATGCACATGTGCATACAAGTAATTGGAGATATTTCCTGGTTTTTATGCATGTGTGCATACCAGAAAAATTACTTACAAATTACTTGTATGCATATGTATATATCATATAGATTAATAAAAACTAGTGTTTCTCTCAGTTTTTCACTTTTTTGTGGTTTTCCCTTGAGCCTGACCCAATATATATGGTGAGAGAGGGAGGGTTCAGGAGAAAACCCAGAAAAAATGAGGAACACCCTGGTAACCATTCATGTATGATATCCTCATGTGCATATGAGTAATTGAAGTTGTTTCTTGATTTCATGCACATGTGCATGTAGACAAATTACTTGCAAATTACTTATATGCACATTTGCATACTATACAGATGAATAGTTACCAGGATATTCTTCAGTTTTCATTTTCTTTACGGTTTTCTTAAACCTGACCCTATATACAGAGAGAGACGTTCAAATACAACCCCTCTAGATTATACAACAGATGCAACCTACCTATCCCCCATCCATTTTTTTAAAAATTAAGGGTTGTTACAACCGATAAAATGTAACCGTTGATGATCAAATGGACGCTCCTGATTTGGTAGTAACGGTTGTAGGAATCTCTCTATATATATAAATGTTGCAGCCAATACACTAGATCTTTGGGTACCAAAAGTTTAATACTTTAATGAACATGTGCTTGAATTATTACCTGAAATACAATTCCAAAAGAACCCTGGCCAACAACGCGCTCTGCCATGTAGCTTATCGTCTGTCAAGTGATTAAACAAGATAAAGTTGAAACAAATATCTAAAAGATTAATATCTCTAAAGACACTTTGACCCGCAACCTAAGGTTTATAAAGATCCTTTTATGCCATTGGGTCAAAAGCCACTTGATGATATTGGGGATGTTTATTTCTTTGTCCATTAATCCCCTTAATGGGTTAACGAGAAACCGATGGGTTTGAGGGAGGCAAAGAGAGAGGGTTGAACTATTTCTTGTATTAATTTGTTTGAGGTGGCTTAACGGGACAAATGGCTTAACTATTAAGCTGTAAAGAAACACTACTCTATGGCTGGATGAATAAGCCGGTTTGATACACAACCTCCTTATCTTGACAGAATTGCTACCTTTATTTGATCCTTTTATGCCTTAGACATCGCACAAGATATATAAATTGTTAATAAACTTAACTTTCGACAGAGCTCTTCCTTTTTCTAATATCCCATAAAACCAAGATATATAGAATTAAGAAATTTTTGGAAGAAAACGCAACTAAGGGCTTGTTTGATAGTAGCTTAATGAGCTTCATGGGCTTCACAGCTTATTCAGTCAGTTGTATATACCTGTTTGGTAGTAACTTAATGATATAAAAAGTGGCTTATTTAGTAGCTTCTATGGGGAGCTTTAGCCAAGTCTTTTCCAAACCTGCCCCTCCTGATTAAAAAATAGGCTCCTTGCCTCCTGTCAATCAAAAAACCCTCTCAAAGAAACCTTCCCAATCTATACGGACAAATTAATCCACACTGATAACTTTATCCATACGGGACTTAATCGAAAATCAACCAAACAAGCTTTTATTCATCCACTATTTTGACATCGATTGAAGGTTACCTGTTTAGGTTGACCATTTCTACCTCCAATAGTAGTAACAATGATGTGGCCAGTTTCTGTCCCATTTCCATCCACCACTGTTGCCTCCATTTCCTACAAGAGACAACTTTTAGCAGCAATTGCAGTACTAAATTTAGAGATGCACAAGGCCCAGGCCTTCCCAACCTGTTTTCAGTGAGCAAAAAAAGCCCTGGGAGGGGCTGGACTTAGGTGTTGAAAAAGGTCCTGATCGGGATTTCCCAGGCTTTTTCCCTCAACATGTCAGCTGGCTTTGAGGTAGAGATGGCCAAAAGCCAGGCCCAAATCAGTCCCAATTTCCCCCCCAAGAAATCAATTATAAACATGTAAAAAATCTTGTTTGAATTGAAATACACTTTAAAACTTCTAATTGGGTCATTCAAATACACTTTAAATCTTTTTTTAAATCTTTTTCACCCAAAAATGTTATAAATGTTTCTATAATTACGATTTTTGAAATTTAGTATTGGAACACCTAAAAGAACTTGAAAAAACTTAAAAAAAACACTTTAAAGTATTTGGTAAAAAACTTGAAAATCTTGTTTAGAAATTTTGAAAAACTTGACATATAATTTATAAAAACCTAATTTTTTTTAAAAATCCGGGACTGTGTATAACCGGTCTCGGGCCATGTCTTGAATTTTCACAAAAAGCGTAACCGGTCCTTACCAGTCCCCGTCCCAATTGTTCCTAAGCCGGTCCAGGACCGGGCTCATTTTGGCCATCTCTACTTTGAGGTCCGACCTGGACTGGGCTTCAGGCTCATTAGGGTCAGGCCAGGATTTGGGGATGGGCTTTTTTGTGCATTCTAAGACTGATACACCCAACAAATGCAAGGCAAAGCAAATATCCAGAAAAATATGTAACAAGTAGCAACCTTTTCAACCTTGTCATCTTTGATCGTCATTTCATTGATTTCCTCGGGAAGTTTGTCAACAAATATAGAATTACCGCCAACTTTTTCAACTACGGTAGGAGCCATTCCAACGGAAGCCATATTTAGGAGAACCAAGTTGAAGAAATTTGTTGTTATCGATCAGGCACCCGTCATTTTGTAAGTATCTGCGTAACATAAACTAGAAAGGGTCAATGCTTATATAACATCTATTTTACAAAAAGCAATTAGCTTTTTTATTTCTTGTACTTCTAAGGACGTTGGAATGTTCATGTGATAAAAAGTAGAATAATTCAAAATGTTTAAGAAAGATAAACGAGCAGATCGATGAAAAATAATTGGGTCAAGTTTGAACTTTGTAGCTACTCTCATTCATTGAGGGTCTGTTTGTTAGCAGTTTAATGAGCTCAATGGGACTCAGCTCTTCTGGGCAGCTATACATGATTGTCTGGTAGTGGCTTAATGATATAGAAAGTGGCTGATTCAATAAGCTTCTAGGGCGGGTATATGCAGGAAGCCAAGTTTTTCCAAAACTTGTCCCTCTCGATTAAAAAACACACTCCTTCCATCTATGAAAAAGCCTCCCAAACAAAAACTTCCCTAATAATCTATACAGACAGATTAATCCACACAGGCAACTTTATCCATACAGGAGTTGATGGAAAACCAACCAAACAACCCCCGAGACTTGTTCTGACCGTTTCCAAAAAGCATGTTTCTATTACCAATTGATATAGAACACTACCATGCCCAATGAGTGATACCAAGTTCTTTTGGGTAACTGCGGGTATCCAGGAAAGCTTACACGCACCGACTAGTCCCCGGGAGACCACGAATGCCCTGGAGTGGCCACAAGGGCTTTGGTAGCGCCTGGATTTGAACTTGGGGAAGATGAGATTTCCACTATATCCCCATGAGCCTTAACCAGTGAGTCACAACCCAAGTGGTTTTGATAATAAGATTTGAATGAATCATGAGTTTGATCAATGAATTTTGAAAAACATAAGGTTTATCATATTAAACCTTTTGGTAAAATTGAAATATAGTTGGGTACTTTAATGTTACTTATGTATAATATATAACCTTCAATGAGATTTTAATAAATCCATCTTCTCCCGACCTATTAAAGAAAAAATGGCTTCATAATCAGGTTATTTAGGGATATGACCTTAAATGGGTTTTTAATTAAATCCACAACTTTATGACCTATTAAAGGGAAAATGGCTTCATACTCATGAGAAGGTAATGGATTTTTAAAATATCATTTAAGCTTATATAACTAAATATCCCCTTCATACTCATCACAAAGTCACGAATTTAATTTAAATCTCATTTAAGATTATATACCTAAATACATCTACTTTTTTAATGAGATTTTCTTTAAGATTTTCTACATTTTAAGTTCTACATTTTTTAGAGAACTCTCCATAAATGATTACCATGAGAAAGAAATACTTTAACTAATATTCCCACCAATAAGAAACCTTGAAATTAGATGTTCAGGAGAGAGAAATAATATTTTATTATATTCTGGAATATTTTAATAATATAAATAATGTTGTAATCTCCAAAATGGAGAAGTTCTTGGAGTTGAATGTAATTTCCTACTGGAGAATTTGAATTTTGATTCTCCATTTTGGAGAAATTTTGAAGAATCTGTTGGAGATGCTCTTAATAGTAACATCTATTTAGAGATGGAAATTTACCCGTAGCGGGGAGGGATCTATTTTCATACTTGAAGCGGTGTCAGAGATGGCATTACCCCCCCCCCTAATCCGACCCGATTAATTTATTTTTGTTAATATATGTATATAGCGTGTGTATAAATAAATATATATGTATACTTTATTATTAAAAGACAAATATATGTGTTTTTCAATATTGGTAATTAATGTAATGACAATTCATTATAATTTTAAAATACATTGTTTTTTTATTAAATGGGCGTGAACCCGCCGGGATTCCTTTCCACCGAACCCGTCGGGGATCAGTTGGGCTTTGGGGGGGGGGTTAAATGGGGGTCGGGGACAGGATGCCTTACCCGCCCAATACCGGCCGTTTCCATCCCTATGTCTATTGCATACAGTTTTTCCGACCCTTTACATTTGCAAATATGCGGCAACCATATCTTCGGGTGCATTAGAAGTCAAATGTGCATCCACACTAATTGGCGGTGGCCATAATATTGCAATAAGAGCACAATGTGTATTCATTATGCATGCTTATGTTAGATAACGAGCGACTGTTTCAACAACAATCATTCAACTAACTTGAATACACCGGAAAATATGAATGCAAACATATGAAATGAATTAGCAGTCGTAACTCATACATCAAGAGTGATTTATTCAGTTTAATGATCATGATGTGTGTTTTGTTGCTTTTGTGATGTGGCGAGGTAATCAAAACTTTGGGTTTGATCCTTACATGACGAAATGTTAAGAGGATATGGAAGCATAAGGGTTGATTGAAACCTCATAAATCATGCATTTGGTTTTATAAGATATCATAAGTTTACTAACAGATTCCAATTAATGAATATAATTTGTTCATTTGTAAACTATAATGAAACTACTCCTATCATGTAATCTAACAAACGCATCAAGCTTCTCTCCATGAACACTACAAATGCATATTCATTCATGTTAAATTTGAAAATCACATGTGAATATATGAAAAGGTGGCGATCTACAGGCTCGTCTTCATCTTTTGCAGATACTTTCCTCCCGATTGATTTCCCAGATTTTCTCCAATAACCTGGTGAACCTGTTGACTTTTATCCTCAAATAAAAGACAGCCCGCATCCCACATTAATTAATTGAAATCTTTCCAATAATGCAAACAATTAGGGCAAATCGTGTTTCCTCCAAATTTTAGGGTTCCATGAGATTTTCCAAAATTAACATGAATAAATATGCCCATGTTCATGGAGAGAAGCTTGATGCCTTTCTAAGATTACATGATAGAAGTAGTTTCATTATAGTTTAGAAATAAACAGATTATCGTTGATTGAAATCTGTATAATAAACGTATATGATCCTTTATAAAACCAAATGCAAACAATTAGGGCAAATGGGTTTCTTCCCAATTTAAAAGGTTACCATGATCCCTGAAGTCTCAATCAAAACCTTATACTTCCATATCCTCTTACTTCCCGTAAGAATCAAACCCAAAGTTCCAATCCTCACCATATCACAAAAATCAACAAAACAAACAGATAGAAGATAAGAACAATCACCTGTAGGATGGATGTAGCCGAATTAGCTCAAAATCTGCAAAATCTCGATGAAATTAAGCAACGAAAATCACAAAGGAAAGCCTTGAAGGTTGATTGAAATCGTCGTATAGGTAAAGTACGAAGGGAGTCTATGATGTTTCAGAGATCTTTCTTACAAGCTTTGACCATGTGGGACTCTCAATCTCGTAAAATTATTTTGGTTTTCGATTTTTGTTTTCTGAGTAAAATACATATTTAGTCCTTGTACTTTGTCAAAAATTGTGATTTATGTCCTTATGATTTAGAAATCATAGTTTTCGTCCTTACAGTTTACGATTTATTTTAGTATCGGTCCATATAGTTTACAATTCCTTTTTTTAATTAACCTGGATATCCAACTCGCTATGTGAACCGACTAATCTCAGAACGACCACCTGATTTGCAGATAGTCCAGAGTCACCGCATTTGAACCTCCGTGGCCACGAGAGAATTTTTATTACTTATTGGATTTGAACATGGGACCTCCAGATACTTTTGACCTTTGGAGCCAAACTTAAATTAATCAGACACCACCCTTGTGATTAGTTTACAATTCTTTATTGTTTTTTTAGAGAGCTTTTGGTAGTAAAACATGACGGGTAACATAAGACATAACAGGATAACTATTTAGTGTTTAGTAATACAAAACTTGACAGAACAAAACAAATAAACTAACTAATTTTACATCTAATGAGTTGTTTATATCTTTTATATATTTTAATTAATTTATGTAATTTTTTAAATCATCATAAAATAAAATAAAATAATAATAAAATATATCATTAGAAAGTTTTCGTCAAAATCATTGCAATGACGTCAAAATAAAAGT